ATATTCCCATCAGCCTCAGATTCAGACAACTTTATTATCCCTGAAGGGCAAATTGTTGTATAGCCAATCACATCACAATGAACGACAAATAACATTAAGAATTTAGAATGACATCTAGATCTAGACTATCTAGAATTACCGTTTTGCAGTTGTATGCCTCCGCCAACTAGTCAGTTTCACAGGAATGGGCAGAAGTGAGGCCACTGACCTTGACCTTTGACCTTCAACCACCAAAATCTAATCAGTTCATTCTTGAGTCCAAGTGGACATCTGTGCAAAATTTGAAGAAATTCTCTTAAGGCGTTCCTGACATATTGGATTCACAAGAATCACATTACTACACATCAGCATGTTAGCATTGTCATGGTTATTATGGTGGCTGATGTTAGCATTTAGCTCACAGCACTGCAGCCTGTAGCCTCACAGAGCTGCTGGCATGACTGTGGACTGCTCTCTATGTCTTTTTATCTCCCTTTTTTTTTACACTTTCTTTTAATGTGTTCTCTTGTTTTACAGGCTTCTTATAATTCATTGTGGTTTTATTTAATAAATTCTGTTGTGATGCTTACTGTAATAAGATCTGTTTCACTTCAGTGGGTGGGAAGAAATGGACAGCCTGAATGCTAATATAACACAAAGCCAAATGAGAAACCAACACTGGTGTTGGCTGCACAGGGAGTCCTGTCATCCTTCAGTCACCTGTCACTTTGTTCGGGGTTTTCCTGACAGAGCAGAGTCCGTCCTCCTGTCTGTGGGCCACAGGTCGAAATAACAGTTTACACTTGATGCTGTCAGCGGGGTGGAAGCAAAACATGAGCTTTATATGTGGGATGTATAAATCTCCCCTGAAGAGATATGGTGGCAATTTAATGAGTCAAAGTATATTCATATTCATGGCACACAAACAAATGAGCACAGTATTTGCAGAGAGTTTGCCAAGCAGTGATCTTGCCAAGTTTCAAGGACAACATTAGAAAAAGCAGACTTCAAAAACGGTTAAGAGTATTACAACCTAGAACTGAAGCATAATCAGAATCCTAAAGACTGAAAACAGAAAAAACACAAAGGCACTATATTACACAAATACATATCTGAACATAAGCAAGTATACACAAACAAAAACAGGACAAGCATGAATCTCTCTCTTTCAGCAGTAAATTCATGGCTCATAATCTGCAGGCATGAAGTAATCTGAGCGAATGTGCAGTTGGATTATCAGTCTGGAGTGGTCTAATCTGAAACGCTTCTCAGACTGGTTGACTGAGAGGTCATGAATGAGTTTCACTCATGTGGAGATGCGGTGTACCAGTTCTCTCTTCAGTGCTGTCAGGATGATTAAAAGCAGAAAATCTTTCACCAAGTGTTGAGACCCGGCTACCAACTCTGCATCTTTACTTGGGATGTAGTTAGTTTACCTCCTCTGCTGGCAGATAACAAGCATATAACTTCTCACTTGCTGCTGTCTAGAGTTCCTTTGGCTGCTGCCACACCTTTATCTTCGAGTAAGAGCTGTGACATATTTTATTATGGTGCATTGTGTGACAGCTGCTGTAACAACCCTATGAACTCCCTCTTCATCCCTGTTGAGATTTAAGGTGTGCAAATTTATCTTTCTGTTGTAATATCCTTGTCAGCTGCTAAATGTGTTTATCCTCTACGCTTTCAAAAACTCAAACGTTACAAATTACCCATGAAAATATATTTACTTATACTGACAATGATTTGAACCTGCTAAATAAACCTTGTTTCACTGACACATAATCTAATGACATAGTGGCACCAAAAACTGACATTCCTGTTTACTGGATAGGCGATGCTGCAACTAAACATTTAACTCTAACTTCTTATGTACGTGTATATTTAATAAAATCCTGTTCACTGTTTTACTATGCCAGCCTTTTTGCAATGTGTCCTCTCTGTGTTGCCGCATGTCTGTTTGTCCTATCAGTGATGTAGACCCACACAGGGGACAAGCAGCCTCTCTGTGACGTGAAATTCTATCACACCAAATGAAATGCAAATGACCCCAGCTGCAAATGCTCACAGGGCATCCTTATTCAGCACAAGCACATACACACACACTTTGCTGAAAGTAAATGACTGTGTACCCACATTAACATAAAAGTTTTGCATATACAGACTTGCACACATGCATGGTTACACACATTCTTACCAAGAAGTGACACATTCATAATGAGAATGTTAACAGTCTCATCTTGTTTATGTCCATTTGCTACTGTCCCATATGTGCTTAGTTATTAAGCCCTGCTGCAAGTCATCACTCTCTTCCCTGAGTCACAAAGTGGTAATGTGTCAGAAATGAAGCATTAAGGAAAAACAGCCATCTTTAAACAGTCTTTCTGATATACTCAGTATGTGATACTGTTTATTTCCTGTAATTTTGTAATCAGGTGTGAGGTACTTCCGTGATTTTTAAATTCTACTAGCCCAGTGCTTTCATTTCCCGGAATGTTTCAAAAATCCTACACATATGCATGAGTTTCCCCTCAAATTATGATTTTAATAAATGGATAGGTGTGCACACAATTACTGTAGGTACATATTCCAAAAAACTATGACCACTGGAGCATGATCATGGTGGTGCCCATAATTTAAAGCACACTTCCTGGCAATACTGCTTTCTGGTGTTTTGAGGCTACTGTGGTAGGAGAACTTCAAATATAACTTACTATAGCACTAGGCCATGATAGTGACTTAAAGCAGAGGCCCTAACTTTGCACCAACAGACCTGGAATTCAGACTGCGAAGGCTGATGCTGCTTAGATGTATTCCCAGTAACCCACTTGTGCTACATTAGTAGTCAGAGTGTCCTATCCACCCTTCCACCTTCCACCCAAGTAAGCTGCTCTGTTGAAGCTCTGGTATGAGGCTTTGTATTGACTTTGAATTGGCAGTTACAGTTTGTGGGGTGGAAAACCATTATTCACAGATGATCAAAAAAGAAAGAGAAAAGGCTGAATATACAGTTTGGGACAGAACATCCTTCAGAATTTTTCCCACTCTGGCTCATCTCTCCTGCCAAGTGTGAAAGAATAAGTTAACGGACAACTTTCAAAGATGTGTAAAATTGAATCAGACAAGTTTGCCTTAACACCCAGTAGAGGCATAAAAAATGAGGAGCACCTCTTCCAAAAACCCCACATCTTTTCTCTTGCTGCTCAGTAGTCCTCCCCCCAATAAGGCCATTCATGCCAAGTACTCTGCAACAGCAATGAATGAATCTAATGCAATGATATAGAATAAAACTAATTTTACCAATATCAATAATATAGCACCAGAAAAAGGTTACTTTAATGCAACAGTTTGTCATTGTTTTTCTTTTTTCATTCATTAATACTGACATACATCACATTTAGACTCAGACAGGAGTGGCCAATCAGATTGTGGGGGTGGCCGGCACAGCCTTTGGCGTTGAAGTGTCCTTGGGCAAGACTCTGGACCCCCAAGTTGCCCCTGATGGTTAGAGCCATCGGTGTGAGTTGGCACCACAGATGGCTGCCTCAGTTCTGTACTGGAAACAAATGTAACATGCTTGGCCAAATAAAGGTGATTATCCTTATTATTCATGATCTCTGGTTCATGATTCCTCTTCATTCATGTGTGTCTATGGTTTTTGGAAACTTTTTGCTATAACTTTCTAAAATGGGATATTTTTTCCTGAGTTTGGTATTGTAGTTTGTATATAAATTCCCTTAATTTCCTGTACAACATTCTAAGAAGCACTGTATCCATTCACATGAACAGTAAATGTCTTCTTCAATGGTGTTTGCTAGCCCATTTTTTACACTGGATTCACAGCATCACCACTCCTCTCACATCCTCTCTAAAGAACTCTCTTTTCTTCTATATCATGCCTCATTTGATGTGTGTTATGACTTGTTATATCTGCCTCAAGAGAATAAAGACACTGTGCCAGGCCTCCCCACATTCCCCTTCCAGCTCACAAGGGGAATAAAATCTTATTGATTTGTCCATCAATGTACTGACAGAATACAATAAGAAACAGATGAAAGCCTCCACCTGAAAGCTGTTCATCTTTTTTTGTCATGCAATCAATCACCACAAACAGTAGATGCCAGAAATTGTCCTTTTCTATTCTATTTTTGGCCAGAAGAGTTAAAAGGTGAGTGATGCAGGGCAAACCCAGGCCATAAATTAGCCTTGTTTGAAGCCTGTTGTCTCATTTAAATACTAATAGGAGACATAGGGGTCACAAGGGTAGGTGCATAATAATGAACTGTAACCACACATAAGCAGTTTTTGAGACATATGACACGTTATCAGTATGAGAAGGACAGGTCAGAAGAGGCCCAGGGAGGAAACTGTCAATGAGATGACCTTTACTTATGTCAGTGGATTCCCTTTCGCATACACAATGTCTCGAGCTCTGTCAGCAGAGTTTTGAGTTTGTGTGAACCAGAATAAGAATAACTGTAGGATATGGTCCGTCTTACCATTGCTAACTCTGAGAGACGAGACAGTCCAAGTAACTTCAAAACAGTGCTGATTTATTCAAAGGATCACAGGTAAAATTAACATTACACGCTCAAGTGTCTTGCACCTCCAAACTGCACGCAGGCAGATGTAAGCTGAAAGACCCTGAACCCACCAGGCCTATACATTATATCACCTTGGTTGGGCTAGCCCCATACTACACCGAAACGTCAACCGGGACGTCTCTGTTACCAGCTTTGCAGCTGGCCATAGCAGTAGTCAAAACATGAAGTAAATCGATGTGTGTGTGTGTCTGTTGATTAAGTGGTGTGTAACTAAAAACATTCTCACGACCTCTAGTACATGTCGTGACTTAAACATAAGAACATATTATGGCTAAGGCTACAGTTATACACGTCGTAATAATAATATTAAACACCCTGTCTGCTGACAGTCATCAACTCTTCTCTCTAGTTATCCTTGACCAGATGTACCCTGTAGAAACTCATAAGCAGGCCTAAGCATTTAACAGTCTAACTAGACATCCTATCTCCACTAAACATTTCTAATACATAAAGTATCTATCCAATATCTATCTGACTAAAAATACCTAACATAACCCTTATTCCACTGAAGTAAATAGCAACTCCATGTGTGTAAAACCACATCACTCACACATGCACACCGAAGCAAATCTTCTGCTGATGCCTGGAGTCCTGGTTGATTTGTATCACTTTAGATGACAGATTGCACAGGGGGGGTTAACATTAAAAGTAGGATGGCAAAAAATAACCTCTGAAAGAAAATGTAGCACCCAGAAATTAGATCAGGAGTGTCATTACAGGAATACAGTATGATCACATGAATGTAGTGCCATCTGGCGGCGGTAAACAGAACTTCACAAAAAGTCTGTCAGATTACTTGTAGTACCTGATTTATGATTACAGGACACAATAATACAAGTCCTGACATTGAAACGTAATTGTGTTCAGACACCTGTAGAACTAATATTGTACTTCATTTCATCATATAAATATCATCATCATATAAATTTGAAAACATGATTGCTCATGAGGAGAGAAAAATACAAAGAGAACTGAAACATTCTAGCCAAAGTGTAATAACAATGTCATCTGACCTCCTGAAATTTTGATTGTAACATAGCCTCCTTTCCACTAGCCCTCTTTATCCAGCTTATCGTTGCGCTCCTGTGGAATACGGGCCATATTATAAAATTCTAAGTTTGGCTTCATGTCAGTGAAGTGGGCAAGCCGGTTGGACATGGCAAAGAAAGCAGTTAGGGCAGCGATGTCCCAGGCATCCTCACGGTCAAAGCCCACTTGCTCCAAAGCCAGGAAATGCTGCTCTGTGATGGTGTCGCAGCGACACACAGCTAGTGCAAAGTCCAGCATGGCACGCTCCCGAGGTCCCAGCTCTGCACTCTCATAGTTTACAATAACCTAGATAAAAGCAGGGAGACATAATTAAATAGCTTTGCTCTGTTTGTTTTATAATAATTCAGAAATAAACCAAAGTAAACCACAACATAAAAATAACAAATGAAGGAGAAATATAAGCTTGTGAGAATGTGAAACACATTGAACACAGTTGCCAATGTATCTGCAGATTGCTTAACTGGTTACTCTAGTTAACAGTTAACATATTGCACAATAAGCAGACCAGAGGCAATCAGGGAAAGATGATACCTGATCGGCAAGAGTAGGTTTTTTAGAGTAGACACGGTGCAGTGCGCTGTGGGATACTACACAGTAAAGACACTTGTTGTGGCTACTAGTTGCGACTATAATCAGCTCACGGTCTGCCTTGGTCAATCCGCCTGTAAGACATTAGATGTTAAATTAATATGAAATTCACCTGCTTAATATTGGTTTAACTGTGGGCATGACTCCACAGTATATGACAATGTTTTGGGTCATCCCGTATTATTGGCGAGCCATGCACTGTTGATTACTCACAGGTGTACTACACAAGTAAATGCACATAGTCCCCTCAGACTGTAATATCATATATTGTGGATGGTCTTCTTTATGGGCTGGGGAATTACCTGAGTACAACTTTTACACAGTCACTTTTTCTGCAAATGCAATACTAGGGGCAAAAGCAGTTTTATGCAATTTCCTTTGGGCATATATTTGAGTGCAGCAAGGGCAAAACCTTCACACACTGGGGGGATCAACTAGGCCCGGCTGGATTACATTTGCCCCAGTCCATAGCAGGAGTTTTCCTGGGGGTTGCCAGGAATCGTATCTGTTTAAACTGTTTCTGGAGCCCAAGTGCTATCCTGGAGGGTGCCCAGAATTTCTAGAACCGCCCCTGAACACACCTATTTAATAAAACAAAACACACACCTGTATCTTTGTTGATTAGTTCATTATAGTATCCGAAGAAGGCTCTGAATTCTGCTGGCCTATGAGCGAAGACCTTGAAGACGTTAGGAAGAAAGCCTCCCTGAAAAGAAGAATAAAGTTTAGCAGTAAAGGCACCATAACTGTCACTGTGCACCAGTAGAATTAAAGCCCTCATATTGCAAGTTTCTCTTAACCTTTAACTCCACTTCCTCCATAAGCTCCACTATATCATAAGGTAGGTCTTTCTTGTTGGGAACGGGGTAGCGACTGATTTTCTCTGGAGGATCGCAGTAGAAACGTTTGGCCCCAACCACGGCCGCTGCCTTCCCCCGCGACATCCAGGCCAACCGAGGAGACCCCTAACGGAGGAGAGGAGAGGAGAGAGTTACCTATCATGCAGAAAGGACACTAAAAAAAGCAGAAATGTAAACAGTAGGCCATTCGCCAACTTACAAGTTGTGTGAGCACAGGGGCACGAAACAGCGTCCGGACAATGTTAGTCGCCATGTCAGCGGAGAGAACAGGCGGGTCTGAGATTATTTCGCCTCGTCTGGTAAACACCGGTCGTCAGATCGGAAAGTCTTCCGTCTCCACAGACGTGAAAATAAACTCAGCCTAGTGTTTATGTGATGGCGAATTACTGCTGCTGAATTAAAATGTTGTCGAACCTTTCCAACTTTCAGACCTTTGTCATTGTTGTTAGCCTAACGTTATATCAATGGTTATAAGTGCATCTGTAACCAGGGTATCACGTCCTTTGTAAGCTATTATTAGCCTGTATATTGTGAAAATCGCCACAGTCATGTTGTAAGACCCTGTTTTGCCCATTGTCTCGTTTATGTCACAATATGTTACAACCAAAACCCCCAATCACAAAGCAGTACTGGATTACGCCCTGTCCCTCCCCTCGTGCAGTATCCCTCCTCACCGCCAGGGGTCACTGTTTTTGTGGACTGACCATTGACTGTGGGACTAACTGTGTTACCGTGGATGTGCTATGCGATATGAAATGCAGTTTATCGAGGTCTACTAATAAATTACATTTTTTTTTAGTTTGCAGTTATTATAGTTATGTCTATAGATGGGCATAGTATATGTTGCATGTGTGCCAAAACACCGAAGGGCATATTTTTCACAGACTAACGTTATGCCTGAGATACAGAATTTAGGGTTACCAGAGTTAGTCTCACTGACCCCGTACCCCGGAAGTGACTTTGTTGTGCTTGAGGGACAGGGTGTCATTTATTAGGCGCAAACTTTGGAATAAGAGGAAGAATATTAATCGAAGTCGTATTGAACATTCCAACAGAAATGTTTTACCATGTAAGTACGTATATTATTACCTGTGTATGAGCCGAACAATACAGTGCACGTGTCTTTCCTTTATCGATGTGTGTCGAGCGTGATCGTAGCTTTGTTAGCATTTCTAATGTAGCAAAAAAAACTCAAAATCCTCCACGCATTAATTATTGTTCTTGTTTAGTGCTATAGAGAAACACCTCTTTTTCTGTGGTTTTTGATCAGAAGCACTGTCGGTGCCCCCCACAGGACCATATTCATAAAAAAATTCAATCAAGAATTTGCGAAAGCGTTGTCCTGTAAAACACGCACCTTTGTGTTCGCAGATTTCTTTGGAGCACGAAATCTTACTACACCCGAGGTATTTTGGTCCCAACCTACTCAATACTGTGAAGCAGAAGCTTTTCACAGAAGTGGAGGGTACCTGCACTGGCAAGTGAGTTGCTGTAACACATGTGTTCTTGTTCTGAGCCTCTTAGTTGAAAGATTTAGCCCAGTTCTTTCAACCAGGAACTCAGAGGGACGACGCAGACCACTTGGATATATATATATAAAAAATATATAACCGTGCTGGTTTATTCAAAGGGTCACAAGCAAGAATTACCATTACACGTCC